AGGAAGAGTCTCTAACTCTTAAGAAAATGCCACTGACATCATTTAATGTATAACACCTCAATTGTAATTGTAACATTTTAAAAATGTTTACTTAAATTTCACCAAAGCTATTTTTATGGAACCTTAACTTCCATTTTCTAAAAACGGGCTATTTACATAAAGCTCTTAATCACCATTGCCAATATTACAACAGAATAAAAGTATGTGTACAGTCAGTGACCATCATTGTTAATAGCATAATATTCTGAAATACAACACACCTGCCACCTTCCCTTTGCCACACAGCCAAATTAAATATTCTGACATCTTCCTGGTTCAGTCTACTATATCGCACCACTCTATTAACCACACCCACATAGGCAAATAAAAGAAGGGCAACCAGAGCTTCCCTCATTTTCATTGGTAATGTTTGAGGGTAATTCATCCTTTACTGTGAGTTGTTTACTATTTGCTGTGAGATGGAAAGCAGATTGTTGGACCTGCTATAGCCTACTGGTTCAAGGGTGTAACTTTGGTTTGAGAAGTGGGGGGGGGGACACAAAATGGGGGAAAATGTTTTTGATTTGAATCTCATTTCCTGCATGTACATACATTTATGGATTATGGTGATACAAAATCCAGGAAATAATTAAGTTGATTAATGATCAATTCTGCCAAAAAGAATAGTAGGCTACCAAACTATGTATAAGAAAAAAATGTCTTACTATCTTTATTGTTTAATAGGGGCCGATCGCCAAGACTTGAGAGAATCATTTTATAAAGTCGAAAATGTTCACCATTAATGTTTTAATGCCTCTCTTCCACTTAGACTGCACCTTTTCCATTAAATGACAATATTTGCTACCCCTAAATTGACTTTCCAATGCATTTTTTATCTTTATAAATAGAACATTAATGTTAAAAAAAAAATGTTCAATAGATAAATATGCAATGATGATAAAAAAGTGAAAAGTGATTATTTTAAATACTAAAAGCGCCAGTAGGTGGCGGTAAGTCACTGTCTTAATGCGTGAGTCATCGAGCCATTTGTTCATTCAAGAACTAAGCAAGTGGCTGTATTTATAAATGAATCATTGAATCAATGACTTTCGCGAACGATTCGGTCACGAAACACCGCAGAACTCAGCATTTTGTTCGCGTACCCCCTCTGTCGCCTCACCTACCCCAGTTTGGGAACCACTGTTCTACATTCAATATTTAGTTAACTAGCAACAGTGTATGTTAGCGTTAGCTCAGTCAACGAAGGCTAACATTAACAGGTGTAGACAGAAAATATGATTATCCTGACCTGAGCTAATTTACTGAATCAACCGACTCACATCTCCTTTCTTTCTTTCTTTTCATTCATGATGACATTAAAGTAATCTCTGCTGCTTCTGGTGTTTCATCGCTGACTGCAAAATATGATTATCCTGACCTGAGCTAATTTACTGAATCAACCGACTCACATCTCCTTTCTTTCTTTCTTTCTTTTCATTCATGATGACATTAAAGTAATCTCTGCTGCTTCTGGTGTTTCATCGCTGACTGTCGCAACGATACCCGCTCAGTAGAACCTTCAGTGAGATATTTTTAGAGTGCGCACGCGACGTTCCTGGACATGCGAATTGAATTTGAATTTGATTTGGGTTTCAGATATCAAACGTAAACATAATAAATTATTAACAAACATTTTAACGAATGCCTGGCAATAGGAAAATTTAACTTCTATCCATCTTAGAAACTTCTGCTGGTGGCTTTGGAATTGTCTTAACTTATTGCACGCTGTTTCAACACTCCTAGATTGCAATTGTTTACTTGAGTATTTTTTTGTTGTTGTTGTGTTTTTATTTATTTATTTTGCATTTGGTATTTAAAATACATTGGCTGTGAGGCTACCGATAAAAAGCGTGTGAGCAACGGACTGATGCGGTAACTTTAAAAACTTTGTATCATTTCTAAAATGTTTAAAAAATACCCTTAGTACAAAACACAATGTACCAAATCGCACAAAAAAAAAAAAAAACCCTGATACATATAAATTGCGGACTCCGGGGTATAAAATATCGGTAATTATAAATTAAAGTCAAATTAGTATAACAAACGTACCGTCTGATGATTCCAGAGTCCGGAGGATAAACTCATTCGCCTCACATAGCACACTGAGGCAGAAATGAAACTTACAGTAACGAAACGAAACGAAACGAAGACTTAATGATTACCATTTTTTCCCAGCTCTTGTCAGAACCGTCAGGGCTGTGCGAAGTGGGCCTTCATGACCTTTTTCTTTTGTGTTTACTACTTTGGTGCAGGCAAACTTACCTTAAAATGTTTCAAGGTGTGTATTCGAGTGGGGGAAAACGCCTCCATACTGTTTTTCCCAAAATAACCACTAGATAAAGTCAAGATACAGTTTTGTTGTTGCTATAGACTGCGTTGACAAGAGTGATGCAGAAGTATTCACTACGACGTTTACACTGGTGATGATAGAGAGAGAGAGAGAAAGCTGATTTCACGGTAATTGATCTCATTTTCAGCAGTAAGAAAAAAAAGTTTTTTTGTTTTTGTAGGATATCAGTTAGACCTATATATGATATGAGAATAAGGGCTGTAGATAGGGAGTAGCCTACATGTTAAGAAAAATATCATTAGCCTGTATTTTCAGATTGACAGAATTTTATTTTCAAACCTAGTCTGTGGGGTAAAACGCGAAAGCTGATTTCACGGTAATTGATCTCATTTTCAGCAGTAAGAAAAAAAAGTTTTTTTGTTTTGTTTTTGTAGGATATCAGTTAGACCTATATATGATATGAGAATAAGGGCTGTAGATAGGGAGTAGCCTACATGTTATTTAAGAAAAATATCATTAGCCTGTATTTTCAGATGGACAGAATTTAATTTTCAAACCTAGTCTGTGGGGTAAAACGCCCCCCCAGTGGGCATGGCTTAATTACTGTCGTTATTCTGAACATCACGTTCTTTGTTAGGATAAACTCATTCGCCTCACATAGCACACTGAGGCAGAAATGAAACTTACAGTAACGAAACGAAACGAAACGAAGACTTAATGATTACCATTTTTTCCCAGCTCTTGTCAGAACCGTCAGGGCTGTGCGAAGTGGGCCTTCATGACCTTTTTCTTTTGTGTTTACTACTTTGGTGCAGGCAAACTTACCTTAAAATGTTTCAAGGTGTGTATTCGAGTGGGGGAAAACGCCTCCATACTGTTTTTCCCAAAATAACCACTAGATAAAGTCAAGATACAGTTTTGTTGTTGCTATAGACTGCGTTGACAAGAGTGATGCAGAAGTATTCACTACGACGTTTACACTGGTGATGATAGAGAGAGAGAGAGAAAGCTGATTTCACGGTAATTGATCTCATTTTCAGCAGTAAGAAAAAAAAGTTTTTTTGTTTTTGTAGGATATCAGTTAGACCTATATATGATATGAGAATAAGGGCTGTAGATAGGGAGTAGCCTACATGTTAAGAAAAATATCATTAGCCTGTATTTTCAGATTGACAGAATTTTATTTTCAAACCTAGTCTGTGGGGTAAAACGCCATGGCTTAATTACTGTCGTTATTCTGAACATCACGTTCTTTGTTTTTCCATTAAATGCATTCTAACTAGGTGGTTGCATAAAAAATATTTGGACTTTATATTTAAAATTACCTTAAGTTAGCATCAGCTAACAATATCTTTAAAATAGGCCATTATAATTAGGGAATTCATAAATACGGATTATAATCTTTCTAATTTTAAGATAAAACTGTATAGGGAGTACATGTTGGTACGTCTATGGTAGAAAAATATAATTATATTTTCAGAACGACATTTTTTTTCAAAGCCGTCTGTGGGGAGGCATGGCTTAATTTCCCTGTCCCGAACATCCTTTGTTTTTTTTATCAAATGTATTCTAACTAGTTGGATGAATATTTGAATATGAATATCAAATATTTGGACTTTATATTTATAAATTACCTGAATTTAGCATCAGATAGCTAGTTAGCTTGCCAGATAGCATCAGATAACAATATTTTTCAAATAGGCTATTATAATTTTGTAATTCATAATTATTGATTATATTCTTTTTAATTTTAAGATAAAACTGCCTGTACTCTGATTTTGCTGTAAATGTATAAAGCAAATTGCTGTCAGACTGGGGGAAGCATCTTACCCCACCTGTGGGGCAAAACGCCCCTACAGAGAGCATTCAATTCATGCATAGTATGAAAAAGAAAATATGGAAGTCAATGGCTACCATTGACTGTTTGGTTACCGACATTCAACAGAAGAAATTTTTTTTATTTAGGTTTGGTACAACTTGAGGGTGAGTAAATGACGACAGGATTTTAATTTTTGAGTGAGCTGTCCCTTTAAAGTATATAAACACTTACAGTACAAACCCCATCAAAATAACACTGATTGTAGCCATATAAATACAGTGCAAACATCAGCATAGTATGAAAAAGAAAATATGGAAGTCAATGGCTACCATTGACTGTTTGGTTACCGACATTCAACAGAAGAAATTTTTTTTATTTAGGTTTGGTACAACTTGAGGGTGAGTAAATGACGACAGGATTTTCATTTTTGAGTGAGCTGTCCCTTTAAAGTATATAAACACTTACAGTACAAACCCCATCAAAATAACACTGATTGTAGCCATATAAATACAGTGCAAACATCAGGTGTAATCATGTACAAATTCAATTTTTGTTAAAAATCTAATAACATGAAAACTCTGGACATTTTTCAATAACATATATATTTTTTTTTTTTACAAATTTTAAACATATACTAGGTTTATAATTTAGGCCCATGTCATTGCCTCTAAAACTATGATAACTATTCTGGACATACTTATCTTTTTTCATTAATTAAGGCATGCATTTCCTCCAACTCTATGTACTGGCACACAAAGGCAAACAAACATTAGAAATCATTTGCAAGACACAGTAATTTTATAAAAGAAATATCCACATTATTTGAATAGCATGAAATGGAGGGACTCCTTCACCTTGAGCTGTCTGGTTGGTATCTCCCCTCCTACGCACTCTTGACACAGAAAAACTTAGCCAGGGTAGTACCATATTTATTTTTTGACAGTATCAAATGTGAGACTAGGGATAAAGTGTGGATCTGATTAAAAATCAAACTATAAAAACAACAGATGAAACATTCACAAAAAGAATATACAGTAATACTTTTGCTGATGGTAATGGGCTGTGCTGCAAATTGGTCTAGGTAAAGGAGGGCCATCAATTTCTTTGGATGATTATTTTGTACTGTCAGTTCAGCCTATTTACTGAAACTCTATTGTATTTATACCTTAATAAGAAGAATACTGATAAATATTCCCCACCTCACCACGTTCAATGCAAAAAACAAACAAAAATAGGAACAACAACAAAAACTCATTGGTTTTGGACCAATCATGTACATTGCATACTTGGAATTAAACCCCTTTTTTCAAAAGGTGGCGAGTTGAATACACTGTAAGTAATTGTTTATAACTGAACGCCTTCGTAATGTTGTCTAAATATTTTTTTCTTTATTTATAATTTCTGTACAATACACACAAATGTTACCATAAATTCTAACAAAGGACTTCTTTTTAAGGCGTGATGTTACAGGGGCTTAAAGACCGTTTCAAACAGTTCCTTGAGCCTAAAGGTCATTCTAGTGAAGTCATTATCCTACAGGAAAAGAAATTGAAAAAAGACTGAATTTAGTCTATGGAAAAAACAAGACTAAATAATATTCATTATTTAGAATCAATTGATTAGCTACATTTCCAGACTCACCCTGTTGGCGGTGCAGTGGTGGAAAACATATTCAATAGCTGTGATAAACTCTCGCACTGTTTGATAGTCATTATTCTCCAAGTTCATTTTCACTCTGCCCAGCATCATGGGACCACAGATGTTCTCACTGTATCCTGGAACCTGGACGCCAGCAGTGCAGACTTCACATGCATGTACACCATGTATAAGAGCTTTAAATATTTAAATGATTCAGAACAGGACAGACACACAGGCAGATGATATTTACATTGACACACAGGTCAGTCATGCTCTCGCGTAGCAGGTGTAACAGCAGGTACTGACAGTGCTAGAACAAACAACAAACAGCATTCATTTTCTTTTATCTGTACAATGAAAGAAATGTTGTTTTGGACCCCACTGACTTCCACTTTATGGGCTAAAAAAAATTGCATAAACTTTACCAGTGTGTATTGAGAGACTGGACTGCTCAAAACATCCTGTTGGATCCTTTGACTAGAACTTTCCACATTCTTCATCACACAAAAAGTGCAGCTCCACTGGCTTCTGTACACACAAAACACACAGTGTTACACAAAGTCACATGTTTAGTCTGTCTAATCCAGTATGATTTCTCGCTCTCTCACCCAGGTGAGTCTGCGCCTGGAGCTGGTAGGTGACAGCGTGAATGAAAAGCTCGTGGACAATCGTCACAACACACGAGCTCTCCGTCAGAGTTACACACGAAACACATGTCATCATTCAGCTGGGACAAGAGTTCATACAGAAATAAACTATACTGTTATGGAGCACACTGTAGAAATAATTTCAAAGGTCAGCAGTTCTGATGAGTTTTGGTGGTCTTGTTGATGCTTTGACGAGACTGTAATTGTGAGTGATGTTGTCTTACTAGGTTCTGATCCGGTTCTTGGCAGATATCACAATCACAGTTGACTGCATGTGGTTCCAAAGCTCTTTTCTGAAAGTATGTGAAAGCACATCAGTATTGTGTATACTGCAAAATCTTTTGATCAGACCCTGCCATACCAACAGAGAGCATTCAATTCATGCATAGTATGAAAAAGAAAATATGGAAGTCAATGGCTACCATTGACTGTTTGGTTACCGACATTCAACAGAAGAAATTTTTTTTATTTAGGTTTGGTACAACTTGAGGGTGAGTAAATGACGACAGGATTTTCATTTTTGAGTGAGCTGTCCCTTTAAAGTATATAAACACTTACAGTACAAACCCCATCAAAATAACACTGATTGTAGCCATATAAATACAGTGCAAACATCAGGTGTAATCATGTGTAATCTCTAAACGTCTCCCAGATTTCCATCGGATTTAATATGAATATAAAACAATGTTAAAGGACCCTCATGGGGTCATCATGGCAAAATGTGATCGCCTTGTTTGTTGATAGCCACTGTTTGTTTCTCTGAATTGAATCAATTTAAATGTTTATTATTTAGTATTTTCCTTTACCGTTATAAGCTTCCCAAGAGGCATTCCATGGGACACAATGTCTTTCTTCCATGTTCCATCTGGTTTGCTCAATCTGATGAAATCCTCAGGTGTAAGCCAGAAGTTCTCTGTTCTTATGCATCTCCCACAACGCCCTGAGATAAAGACAATACTGAGTGCAAAAGTCTTGTACCACTGCAGTCAAGCAGTGAATTTACATTCACTGTTAATATGTAAGAGAAAAAGCAATATGGGACTCTGCCTACAAATACCCTGATAGTGCCTGTTGTGGAGGTGTCAGATAAAAAGTGCAGCGATATATACCTTCAGCAAGGTATTTCAGGTTTTGCAGAAATGTAGGCAGAGTCACATATTTCCAATGAGCCTGGCTTGCGAGAAACAGATAACCTGTCTTGAAAATGTTTATAGTTGTGCACGTAAAACACTGACAACATATTCATTTTCATAACAACTGTTATAAAAGCATTCCCACTCACACACCTGTGGAAAATCGATATTTGTGTAGAATGCCAGAATCAGAACCACAAGTAACAGGTAGGACTGGACCTTCAAACACGCTCATGTCAATATCATCATCGTCTTGATTGTCTTCGATCTTTTCATGTGATTCTACAACAAATACACAAATATTCACTAAACAGAATATAAAGTTTTTCTTATTCTGAATACCTGTTGTAATGATCTTATTTAAAGGAATGTACCTCCAAAAAAGAAAGAAAATGAGTCCCCATTTACTCACCCTCTTTTTTCAAATCCACATGGCTTTTTTTCTTCTGCAGAACACAAAAGGAGAAATTTTGGTAGCACTGTATTTTACAGTCCTGTTACTCGTGTACAGTACATACACTCTAAAGAAATGCTGGGTGAAATACAACCCAGTGCTGGGTAAAATATTGACAAACCTAGCGATTGGGTAAAACATTTAACCCAACTGTTGGTTGAAAACAACCCAATGTAAAGAGTCAATCCACTGAAGGCGAGCGTAGTGAGCACCCAAGTGCAGTTTATTTACAGAGTGATCCAAACAATAATCCGAGACACAGACTTGACATGAACAGACTTGACTTGAACAGACATAGCATGAGCAGACTTGACATAAACAGACTAATTACCTTGACGGAGGCGAACAAGATGATCTGCTGGGTTCATTTTGCTGGTCGTGTATTCTGTAAAGAGTCAATCCACTGAAGGCGAGCGTAGTGAGCACCCAAGTGCAGTTTATTTACAGAGTGATCCAAACAATAATCCGAGACACAGACTTGACATGAACAGACTTGACTTGAACAGACATAGCATGAGCAGACTTGACATAAACAGACTAGACTCACCAACAGCGGGTTAAATACATTCAATACACGACCAAGGCACAATGGGAACATGAAGGCTACTTATAGCAGACAAGGAGGGTCACATGACATGAACAAACCAATGAGGAACAAGACACATGACTAAGACTACCAATCAGAACATGACACATACACAAGGCAGAGAGACATGAGGCAAGGGAAGCATGACACTAACATGGACCATGAAACAATTACAAAATAAAAGACATGGACAACATGAACATGAAACAAAACACCACATTACACCCAATCGCTGGGTTTGTCCATATTTAGCCCAGCATTTTTTAGAGTGTACTATGTACTTATCATAGTAATTACAATAACGAGGTAAAAATTACAGTAGGTACTAACCCTGACCCTACCCCTAAACCTGACCCTACCCCATGTAGTTACCTTATAATACAGTACTTTCTTAGGTAGGTACATTGTAAGTACACTGTATGTACATGTAAGTGCACATACTGTAAAATAAAGTGCAACCGAAATTTTGATGAACATTTTGGTCACTGTTAAGTCACATTTGAAAGCTTTGGTCTAGAAAGGTTAAGTCCTCCATGAAATACGATCTACAATGATCGAAAAGCAGCCAAACCTTTGCATCCTGAACCCTGCTTTTTTTAAAGGTTGCAGCTGGAAGAAATCCATCCTATGAACAGAAAAAGAACAAAGTTAGAATTTGTCGCAAACATATTTATACTGTATATGACAGTAGTTATTTATATTATCTGCATTATGTCCATTTTTGTTTCAGACAACTGTTATTTATTTAATTTGTGCTTCTTAGATGATTTACTAACAGATCAGACTCACCAATCACCAAGTCCATATTAACCAAAAAAAAAAAAGTTTAGTGCATTAGTTAAAACTGTTATTGAAACCGGTCTTATGCACCTCTATGAGTTTCTGGAGTGGAATCCCACTGCAAAGGATGCTGGTCCTCCACTTTTTGTTCTTCTCCTTCATACCAAACCTCTCAAACTCAGTGGGCTTGAACCATTGTTCCTCACTGAAGATGCACTTCTGCTCTGAAGACAGAAAAATGATCTATGATCAACCACTACTGGAATGACTTTGTTTCATCTGGATGTTCTAAATGTTCCAGAATAACAATCTTGAGACATTCAAAAAACGTGTAGCTCTTCATAAACATTACTAAATTCTTTAACATGTAGTAACATGTTTTGCACCTACTATCATAATATTTCTTCAAATACAGGACACCCTCTTTATAGCCACATGTAACAGGAAGCTGAGATTTGTCTTGAGTGTTTTTTTGTCCTGAAGATGTTTCTGAAACAAGTAAAATCTAAATCAGTTAGCAAAAAGAAGAAAAAAACCTTCTCAATAACATATTTGGCAGTGTAAAATGTGCCTCTTGTTATTTCGAAGAACTTGATTCATCACTGTTTTGTCATTATATTAGTAAAGAAAATAGTTTCTGGACTTACTGGGGCAGTTTTGTTTCTTGACTTGTTTCTTCTTAGGTGTAGAATGGGAGGACGACCCCGTCTGCGGTCTCTTCTTACAGCTTTGTTTCTTCATCCTCCTCTATTTTATCGCTTGATCAATCGGTCAGTCGGATTCTAGAATGATCTGAGAGAGTCATTTCATGAAGGAGACTGTCACATCTTCAGCATTATTTGAACAGCAGGAAGCGGACGGGTGTCTCCATGTTGAGTTGTCTTTGGTGTAATATCTCCCCTCCCACACTCACAGAATCGAAACTGAAAGCTGCTTGCTCCTGCGCCTTTGCATCTGAGGGAAAATAAAACTATAATATCAGAAAACATTCACAGAAGGATATAATTCTTTGACTCATCCGGATAATGTAAATATTTTTAATAACATTTTAATTAAAATTAGGGCTGTCGGTTTAACGGGTTAACTTATTTAATTAGTTATGAAAAATAACGCGATTAAAATATTTTACCGCAGTTAAAGCACTGACCCCGCCCCCAGACCTGTACATCATCTTACATTTCATACAGTTAACTGTTGACAAATGTGATGCAGAGCAACAACTCCATAAAAGCAGTTATGCCCTAAAATTCAAGATATTGGGGCAAAAAAGGCTCCTGTATGAGTATTGGTCTCATATTTAGCCTATGTCATATGATAAGCGATATCACACAAGCAGCGAGAGCAATATCAGTTTGTCCCGAATATAACGAGTGCCAATGTGATTTTATACAACAGTTCAATAAATAAGAAGTTAATATTGTGTTATATTTTAAACACAATATTGTCTGTTTTTGCTCAGTTTTGCCAACAGAAATATTATCTATGAAGCCACAGCAGAATTGTTGTGCGTCTGTGTTTAGTTTCTGAATGAATTCGCGTTTTGAGCAAATCGTGTGAATCAAAGATTGGCCCATTCATAAAGAGAGCCTGAATTCATGAATGAATCACCCGTTTGAACGAATTGAATGAATGACCCATAAAGACATTTACCAACACCTGCTTGCAGCTTATTAAGAGTATTATTTAAAAAAAACATCTTGAAAGGGATAGTTGTTTCGTTCTGCACCCCAACAAGCTTCAGTGTTTTGAACAAGTCAGATGAGGAAGTGGGTGTTACAGCACTGCAGCGGGTCACTGAATCCTTTGTTGAGTGGGTGCAAACTGGCAAAAGCCAGGGGAGGACTACTTCTGGTAGTCGCATTGGTGGTCTCAGACTCAGGGTGATGGTGAGGACTTCCCTTCTGAGGAATCAACCTCCCAGGGACCCTCATCCCACGGGCACTCTGCAGCCTGTGGAAATGCCCAAGGAATGTGCTGGACCACTGCATGTTGATCGCAGCAGGTGGGCGAGCCAGAGCTCTCTGGGGAGGATGATCCTGCTGCGCTGCCACCTTCTGGGATGATAACGATGCCGGAGGTGGACCCTGAGATGATGGCTATGCTTGCCCAGGCCACTGAAACCTCCACGGTGTCCTAAACCTTTGAGGCTGGGTGATTGGATTCTTGGTGCCTTTCTTCCCGGAAGTGCATGAAGAGCTTGCTGGTTCATGGACGGCACCTTTTTCTTCCTGAAACTGTTCTGGTAGTTTTTCCCCCTCACCACTCTCAATGGCGGGGCAGCCAATGTGTATACTGAGATCCCGCCGGTGGAGCGGTCGGTTGCAATGCAGCTGTGTCCAAACTCCACTTCCACCTGGCATGGCAAACCATGTCTCCCTTCCCGGGCCTGTAAGCATTCGTCTAGTCTGACTGGCAGTGATTATGTGGCCTTTGGAGAGGCAGCCTCGGCCTTACACGCTATGGCGTTGTTGCAGGTTCATCAGGCCAAGGCAAACAGAAGAGATGGAGGAAGTAACTCTTCGGGAGATGGTGATCGCACCACTCCCTCCCCCAGAGGAGGGCCGGGTAGATAATCTTTTGTTGCGTTTTCGTCCCTACAGCCAGCGGTACATAAAAACCTCAACAAAAGAGCAGTTTCCTCTGTCTTTGGGTCCCAAGAGGGCATAGAGAGCAGTGGACGGAGCAGAACCGTACAACTGTCATCCTCCTCTATCGCCAGCAGGCAGCAGTGGGCGGTTGGAGGGCACTTCAAGCCTTCTCATGTACCCTTTGCGCAACCGTGGAACCAGGTATGTGTTGCACCTCACACCCAGAACCTGCTTCGGGCCATCATCGAAACCCCTTGACCCGGGTCCCTGTGTTCCACCTCGCTGCTCCACTGTAGGTGTGTCTGTGGTTCTGCTGGTCCTGCTTACATGGTCTTTGAGAGCCTGGCTAGCGCTCCCCAGCCCGTCTCGCTGGCTCCTTCGGACCATCAGACTCGGCTATGTGATTCAGTTTACCCTGGCGTCCCCTCAAGTTCAGGGGCATCCAGTTCACCTCAGGCGGAGGCAGAGGGTGCTCATGTCTTGTGAGTGGAAATAGCAGTCCTACTGGTGAAGAACGCGATAGAGCCGGTCCCTCCAGTCGATATGAAGGTGGGGTTTTACAGCCCCTACTTCATTGCACCAAGAAAGGCAATGGGTTACAGTCAATCTTGGTTCTGTGAGTTTTGAACCGAACCATTCACTAGCTACCGTTCAAAATGTTGACGCAGAAATGCATTTGAAAAACTAATACACAATTTAACATGGCAAAATTTTAGTTTAAATACATTTTTGTTTGAACATTTGTATTTTTTTTATAGCCTAGGGTATTACACATGCCCCGATTCATTGATTCAGAGATCTTTTGAGGCTTTTCAAGCTTAAGTGCAGCCTTTTAGGCCTACAGCATTACCAAAAGTGATTGCGGAAACATCTAATGCCCACTTTCTGACTGTTTTAATTATTTTTATGTTTAACAGCCAGAAACAATTGCCCAGATTCTGTATGGGCACCTAATGTAAAGAGCATTTGTATTTAGGTAATATTTATTATCTAAACATATTTGCAGAGCTGTGTAGTCACTGATGTAATGATGCAATCTGGATTACGTAATCAGATTCCAAAAATCAAGTACTTGTAATTAGATTAAATTACATTTTAAAATACTTGTAATCAGACTACAGTTACTTTTTTATTGATTGCATGATTACATATTATTCACACAATAGCAATAAATTATTCATAATTTATTGATTCTCCCTAATTCCTATTTTTCATCTTACAAATGTTCCTTCCTAAAATAGCTTACCGCTTATATACATTCAGAAAGTCTTTCAGTTTTGTGGACAATCACACAAAGACCAGTCATTAGTCAGGTGGATGTAATTGCACAGAAAATTGAGAGGCCACACAGCTTTTGACCACTGGATTTACAAGAATCCTTTCAGGTTTAAGAAGTGCTTCAACATTACAACAACTAGTGATAAATACATTTTTATTTATTTGCTTATTAATTATTTAGTTATTTAAGTCTTTGGAAGTTCTTACTACACATTAAAATTCACAAATTTTTAAAATAAATATTTTAATAATTAAGTGTCACATTTTCATGTTCACAGTTTTCTGATGTTGGTTTATGGTCACATGACATGCAGGTAAACAAATAATAATAATAAAAAAAAATAATAAAATAATAATAATAATA